CCCCAAAACCCCAAAACCCCAAAACCCCAAAACCCCACATATTCTGAATTAAATAGATAATTATAATAAAAAATGGATGAAATAAAGGTCAATATTCTCAATTATATTGAGAAATGCCAGTCCCAGAGGTAAGTTCGAGTCAAATTCTGACGATTACTTTAGAAAGCTAAGGAGAGCAGAAGACAATAATAAAGCAAACAGAAAGGGGTATTATCCTCAAGGTAGCATTTACTTGATCAAAGGTGTTAATAAAGAGAATGCTGACAAGAAATTTAATTAGAATAAAACTTGAAAAGGTACTCTTTTGGTCCATCGATATCCAATTTTCTTGCATTTTCATAATTGGTTTATGTATAGAGCTTGGCATTGGATAGCATATTCGCAAATCAAAACATTAATGATAACATTAGCTTACTGGATAGTAATAGAGAAATAATAGACCCAGATAATGTGATCAGAGGTAATCATCCTCTAACCTCTGTAGTGAACACGTTCTACAAAACTCAGCTGCAAAATCATTCCACTAACACTAAATCTAAGCCTTTGTCAAGGTCCTTCACCAGACACCGACGCAAGAAGTCTTTGAAGAACTGTTTCAATATTAGCAACTATCAAAACCGTTAAGAATCTCTTTTATCTCTTAGGCACTCAAGTTTATAGCAAAGGAGTTTACAAGAATCATGCTGGAAATATCAAAATTAGCTTTGAAAATAAGAAGAAAAGTACTTTTAGCGTCTAATTTTAGACAAAAATAAGACCAGAACCCTCAAATCTAGTGGGCAGAGGAGCACCCATGAGGTTGGTGTGTAAGACTTATGCTATAGATTTCACACAGATTCTCTAAAAAGACCTCTGTAGCACCCAGTAAGCCTTTTTTGAATTATTTTGTAATATAGAACAGCAATTGACTCAAGCTAATTCAAAGAAGCAAGAGATTTTCCCAAAAGAGTTCATACATCATGGCCCAAAGGACTATTACCAGATTCGGAAGAAGTTCAAAAGTTTTATAGAACAAATCAATTCAGAGACTAGGCGAAAAAGGAAGAATATGGTCAATTTCTTATAAATTTTCAATGAAATCGTACTAATTGGGGTTTTGGGGTTTTGGGGTTTTGGGGTTTTGGGG